GCTGTGTGGCTGGAAAACCGGTGCTTGTAAGTGGTGTTCGCTCAACTTTCCAACGCCCTCGACCGCCACACCCGAGGGCCATCTACGTTTTTTAACGTAAACAGTTGCTCCATATCCTGCATAAAGCAGCAACCCTTCTTCTCGATGGACCCTGACCTGGCGGGGGTTGATACCATTTCGATAACCGTATCATTGATTATCGAGCCACCCTGGTCTCCAGTTTCCGTCACCACCGAACATCTATCAAACGTCCCCCTTTCCAGGCCGTGTCCCTGGTCTCCTAGTTCAGCCATTTTTGCCTCTGGAGTCTGAGTAGACCTAGAGGTCGCGATCGGTGTCAGCGTCTGATCAGCGAATTTAGCCGGAGTAGGGAATGCTTTCTCAGGGATCGTTTTCACCCCAGTCACTCCCTGCGTATCGATGTCTGCTTCGGGTGTGACGCTGGAAGGTCGCCCCACCGTTTTTACTGCTTTCATTGGAACAATTGGAACTGGGGTTGTATTCTTATTGAACATAACACTGGGGGCCTTTGCCCCCTGCACCGTCGGTTTCACACCAGCTTTTGGCTGTTTGCCGGATCCCGCTTTAGTTCTGATCTTCTTCACAAGTTTTGGTCCCGCGGGTACCAACTGTTTGGTCCTCAAAGGAGTCGAGGCAGCAGCTGATTCATAGCTCATCTTGCTTTGGTTTACCGGTGTTTTAGCAACACCCGGTTTCGGAGAGACCTTTTCGAGGGATACCTTGAGAGTCTCCTTTTCGGTGACCTTATTCTTCCCTGTCGCGGCTGTATGACCCCGCTCTGGGGTCTGCTGTGATCCCTGCATTCGGGTATCAGTTGTGATCTGATACCTTCCCCCAGTGCCTCGCTCGATTTTCTCGCAGTTACTGAGGATCAGGCCCCGGACTGCAGGGTTTCCGAATTTCACTAAGATGGGCCTAGCCCTTATTGCTGCCGGCTGCCTATAGGATCGATCCAGCGGCTGATCCTCTGCACCCTCTTAATAAGAGCATGTCGGGGTAACTCAACAAGCCTCAAGAGGTCCCAGACCTTTCTATGTTCTATGTCAGCCCGCGCTTTCGCATTCCTAATTATTGATTACTGAAAACTATGTTCACCATCGTATGGGAGCTTGTTTGATAGAAGGCATTCAGTCATATGTTTCTTTACCAGGCGCTCGAAAAGTCTCAATGCGATGGGGTGTGATTAATGGGGCGTTAGTTAGAGGGGTCTTGTAGGAGGCCCGTTTTGTTTTGCGGTATTGTGGTAGAAATTTTCCATTGACAGAGAAATTTTCCATATTTTATTGAGAGGTTAAATATGTTTATGAGTACGAGAGGAATGTCCGGCCCACCAGAGCGTAACAGCACGGGAGGAATTCCATCCGTTCCAAACCGAGTGGAGGGCTTGATTGCAAGAAGGGGTTTGGTCAGCTCATGAAGCAGCAGTTCTATTTGGGATAGGGTGAGCTCAAGTGAAGAAGCAGCAGGAACGGAGGCAAGGGGGGTATCGATGATCAGAGAAGAGTTAAACAAAGAGTTAAAGCATTTGTGATAGATTCAGGTGAATTGGTGACTAAATTATCTGGCAATTTTAAATAACTTATTTTGGGATGAGCATGAGCATTTCGGGATATTAAAATACATGACAAGTTCTAGTTTATCTGGTTTAGATAAAGCAGCAGTTTCCTGTTTTTTATGTATTTTCTTTGTAAAATTTCGGATTTCATCAGATACTTTGCGTAACGAAAAAAAGGCATGGGATTTTGTGTAGAAGGATTGGGCTTTTGCGTATTTATTTTTCAAGCGAGCTATAGGGTCAGGTTGATTATACATGGGACGGGTACGGTAGGAGATGATGAGTGTCAAGCTATGTATAAAGTTAGAGTATAACACATTTGCCGCTTGCTGGGGATCAGATGTCTGGAAAAATTCATCTCAGTCACTAGCGCTCAGTAAAGTCGAGAAGAGATCCCAAGAAAAGTAATGTTGAGCTGGATTAGGAGGAGAGTGCTCTTTATGATTAGTGGGGGCAAAGAATTCACAAGAAGCCATTCGGTGATCGCTACCAGAGAAGTAACCGAGTGTGCGAGTATCGACACTATATAGATTTAGAGTGAAAACCAAATCAAGTATGTTATTTGCTCGGTAGGGGATGAAACGTGTTGAGTGCAGTAACCAGTGCAAATGCATGCATCAATAAGGTGAGAAGCAGAGCTTAGGATGTTCCAGTTAATGTTCGGTGCATTGAAGTGACCAGTAAATAGTTGGGAACACCTGGGAAATGGGGCTGGATAATTGAAAGCGTCAATAATGGGCAGAAATTCCGACGTACAAGTACCGGGAGGTCTTTATAGGCGTCTTGTTTCGAGGTAAGAGCTTGGTAGTTGCAATGTTAACCGATTGGAGTCCTTAATAGAGTTTAGTAGGGGGTGGTCATGAGGGGTTGCGCGGAAGTCACATTTTGTGTACATCAGGCAACCCGTACCTCGGCGACTTCTGCTTTTCCCAAATAAGTGGTAGCCTGATAGTGATATTTGCTCGGATGAGGTGGAATCAGGGAGCCATGATTCGATCACGAATATCAGATTGGAGCTAGAAGCAAAAACAATATTCTGGAAGGAGTAAAACTTATTCATGATGAAGCGACCATCCAAATGAGAAAGGGAAATTCTGTAATAGCTATCAGTTGAATGTAGGTTACCGAAAAATGATGCGGTGGGAGCTATGATATTTGGAGAGGAGGTTATGACATCCTTAGAGGAAATGCGAGATTGACGCGCATTGGGATTAATGTGTAAAGAGGAGGGTGGGAGGAGTGGAGGGTATGGGTTAATTCAGGCAAAATACTAGGGCAGTGAACGTAGCTTAGTGACCCCGTGGGAGGGTGGTGATGGGGAGCAGGGACGTCTTGGATTGGGGAGTACGGGATGTATATTTGTGTCTTGTGATTTGTACGTCAGTATGGATTATCGGAAGAAGTAACGGACCCATCCCAGATGTTGTGTGCATAGGAGTGTGGCTTGCTAGAGCCCATTGGATAGAATTCTCTGAGAAGGGGATAGCAGTTGGGAAGCGTAGGTGAAGGGTTACTGGCGGGGGAAGGACGGATTGAATTCTAGTATAGGCTGCTCAAGGGGTACGGGAGCGTATCAAAGTATTTGTGGGTNNTGGGTAATAATCATGCCCTAGATTTGGTGTTATGTATTGGGGTTGGAAAGGGGCGTTGAAGAGAGTAAGATTTTCGCCTGCGAATTCTATAGATCGACTAGGGACCGGATGGGGTCCTATGTGGAGCTGGGCTTGAGTAAATTCACGGGAGAGGGTGAGGAGGGTCGAATTTGGCGCACAGCTATGGTGGTAGG